TGTTAGCAATGTATTCTCTTCTCAAATGAAACACTGCTTTATAAGATGATCACTTTTTGAGCCAGACTTTTAATTTCACTGTGCCCTGATCATAGACTTTTAAATCTATTAACATGATCTGCCCTTCCCCCCAGCCCTTTATCATTTGGGAATATAAATTGGAACATACAGCTTCATAGCCACTTGCCTTCCTTTTTTTATTTTTCCATCTGATATACAGATCTTGAGACCCTGGTTATAAGAACATTTATTACCAGATGAAAAATATGTAAGAGAAGAGTATTGCTAGAATCAGAGCCTTAGGTAGGCTATATATCAGCCAAATTTCTTCCATTTATTTCCCTTTATGAGATAAGAGATCAACCCCACATGCCTTGAAGTGAGGCACAATCACTGACTGCTGTGGAAAGGAAGGCCCTTCATGCAAACCTGCCCTGTATTTGGTGTGCAGCAATGCAGCCTGTCTCTTTAATTCAAATGTCAGTTTCTATTGGAAGAAAGCCTTTGAGGCTGGCATGGTGAAATTTCTAGGCAGCGTTTCTTTGGAAACTCTTTGCAGTATCCATGGATACTCAATCTGCAGGAAGCAAGGTGCATGATCTCTTCAGAAGCAATGCACATGCACATATAGTTTCTCTGCATTGGAAGGAGAAGTACCGCAAAATCTGATTATTTTTGGAGATTATTAATACAAAAACAACTCCATTTATCAGTGTAGTGGAGTTTTATTTGTTCTGAAAACATGTACATAAAATAACCCCAGAAGAGTTCAAGTATGTATAACCAGAGGAGTTTATGGCCTAGGAGCCTTATTTTGAACGTTTTGTCTGCTTTATATTTGTCACTTAATCATTACCTCAGTTCATCTGTCTACCAAGAAATTGTTCACAATTAGTCCTAAACCTTCCTGGGGTAATTTACTTTTAAAAAAAAAAAGAAATAAAAAATGTAACAGTGCTGTGAATAAAATCTCCTTTTAATAAGAACAAAATGAAGATCAATTAAAGAAGATAGTTATTGAGTCCAATGGTGATGTCTACAAATATTTGAACATTATTACTTAAAGAACATTCGTTTTTTCTTTTTTAAAAAAATACTTGCTACTTGCCTGGACTTGGTCTTCTGAATACCAAACCCTGTAATTATGATGCAGAGTAAATAATTATTCTTGGATTGAACTCAACAAAAAAGAATTCCTTGTTACTGTTTTTCCCTTGTGGACTGGCATTTCACCAGCTGTTACATAATTCTCAGTGTCCTTGTATTTGAAAAATGTCAATTCATCTCAAAGCCTTGTGGTAGTGATATGAGTGATGAAATACTCTTGTAAAAAAGCAACCTCTGTACTCAGCATTTTTATAATTTTATAGTCTTCATAATTTTATAGTCTTCTTACTTAAAGATGAGTTGACTTCTTCAGGAGTCTTCTGCTGATGTAGTTATTATACTGTGGTTTGATTAGGGTATGTGTGTCTCCCAAAGGGTCATGTGCTGGAAACTTTGACTTCAGTGTTGGCAGCTTTGAGGTAGTGGGACCTTTAAGAGGTGGTGCCTAGTACAAGATAATTAGCTCATGGGGCATTGCCCTTGGAAGGGATTAATGCTGGTCTCACATAATGAGAGTAAGTTGTTATAAGAGTAAATCTGGGGCACGCCTGTAATCCCAGGAATTTGGGAGGTTGTGGCAGGAGGACCACGAGGTCAAAGCCAGCCTCAGTAAAAGTGGGACGGCTACGCAACTCAGTGAGACCCTGCCTACACTAAAATACATAATAGGGGTGGGGCTGGGGCTCAGTGTTTGAGTGCCCCTGAGTTCAATCCCTGGTACCCTGAATCTCTGGCTTCCTCTTTTGCCATGTGATCTCTCCTGCATATTCTCTTGCCATTGTGATGCCAAGAGGTTCTCACTAAGGTTGAGCAGATGCTGTTGAATCTTCCAAAATGGTGAGCTGTCTAAACCTGTTTCCATTATAAAGTATTCAGCTTCAGATGTTTTGCTATAGCAACAGATAATGGCCTAAGATACTTATGACTATTAGCAGAAAACATTTTACTGTTCTTAGTGAAGATCAAAAGTAATCACAAGATTTTGCCAAATATTATCAAATTATATTTGAATACCAAATTTGAAGTTGGTTCACATTTCATATAAGTAAATCACTTTTTAACTTTAATACATGTATTAACTTTCACTAATAATGAAGTAGAGATAATTAAGTTAAACCAGTTTATTCTAGTGCATAGTTTTGGAAGTTCCAGTCCACCATTGGTTGGCCCATTGCTCTGGGCCTATGTTGAGGTGGCACATCATGGCAGAAGTGCATGAGGGAGTGAAACCATTCATTTTGGGCTAAGGATGTAACTCCATGGTAGAACACTTGCCTAGTATGTGTGAGGCAACAAAAAACTCACCTACCTTAGGAGATAGAGAGTGAAAAGGAAGAGGAAGAAACCCGGTCCCCTTTGAGGGCATACCCCCAAGGCCCTAAAGGACCTCCCACTAGTCCCACCTCCTACAGTTTCCACCACCTCTTAAAAGCACCACCATGGGGACTAAGCCTTTAACAGTGGATCTTTGAAGATATTCAGTATCCAAACTAAAGCATCATTCTGTCTTCTTTTAAAACATCTGCTCCCATTCCAGTTTGACACTGATAGGAGAGCAATGGGTTGAAGTTCACAATATTAAGCACCATTTTATAAGAGATTTAACAACTTTCATGCTGAGAGGTACTGGTGGACCAATAAGCAGGCAGAAGAGCTGCCTAGATCTCCAGCATTCTCTCCATGGTGGCCATTGTCAATGAGGTGGCATCTAGTATCCCTAATAAAACATGCAGTGTGTTCTATTTTCAATCGTTCAAAGAACCATTTTTCAATGGTTCAAAAGGTTTCTAAGAAAATATATTATTTAGTCTAAGATGGAGATTGCTTTGTTGACATAACCTACCAATATAGGATAAAGCTGCATCACAAATTTACAAATTTTCCCATCATCACTTTGTAAAAGTGCTAAATAGTTAACATTAATGGTTTGTTTTTTTTAAAAAGCTAGTTTATTTTGTAATTGTAATTCACATTGAATTTTTGGTGCCGCTAAATAGTTAACATTAATGGTTTGTTTTTTTTAAAAAGCTAGTTTATTTTGTAATTGTAATTCACATTGAATTTTTGGTGCCTGGAATAATTTTTTATGAAATATCCTTTCATATACATGTTTTTGACCTGAAGTAATTTTTGTTAGTGAAAGGTTATGTCCATTATATACCAATACATTTTAGCACTCGTGAAATACTTTAGCTACTGCATGTGAATTGAGCAAGTCAACTTAATGGAGGAAAGCAGTCAAATCAGACTATTCTGAACTTCCTCAATTATGAGTAAGTGGTAAGACCAAAACAAGGCTCACTACTTAATCTTTCTAAAACTAACCAATCCTGACAACCAGTAGGCTCAGACTACCTACCTACCAATAACTGATGTGATTATTCTAATCTGTGTGATGTGGCTTAGTTACACATATCATGACATGGCCATTAAGAATACATTCTCAGAGTGAACCATAAAAAGCCTTTAGGTTGCCAGGCCCAGTGGTGCACACCTGTGATCCCAGCTACTCAGGAGGCTGAGGCAGGAGGGTCACAAGTTCCAGGCCAGCCTGGCCAACTTAATAAGAACCTGTTTCAAAAAATTAAGAAAAGAATTGGGGGCATAACACAGTGGAAGAGTGCTTGCCCAGTGTATATGAGGCCCTGGGTTTGATCTGCAGTTAAAAAAAAAAAAAGCTCTTAGATTAATAGAGGTGACATTAATTATATACACACACCAAGCTAACAAAATTAGACTTGTGATGAATTAATAAGTAACTAGAATGTATGTATTAGAAGCTTTGAGATGTTAACACTAGTTTTCTTATTTTTCTGTCCAATTTTAATATTATTTTCAGACAGTAGGGCTGGGGCAATTATATACAGTAATCTGTGAATAAATGAAGATATTTGTATAGTACCATAGCTCTGCTTATTTCATACAATGCAATGGCTGAGTGCAGCCAAAATGATGGTGATGGCAGAGAGTTGAACAAATTTGAGCATTTCAGACTTCCCAGATAGCTGCAGACTGGGCCCAGGGAGACTGTACTTGCAATGAGGCAGGGGTGACTCCAAAGTGCATGTTCCAGCCAGATAGAGTTGGCTTCCTGCCCCATGAGGGAGGACTTGATTTCAACCAACAGCCTGAAAGGACAAATAAGAGAGAATGCCAGCGCCCCCACTGGCAGGGCCCTTTGTCCACATTTGTCCACTCTGGTTCAATGTCTCGGTGTACTCCCACAGCTAAGATGTTAGGCCTCAGAAGGCTATGTGCTCTTGAACCAGCTTGATTTTCAGTTAGCTGCACAGACTGGATGGATTGTTGTACTCCATAAATTGGAATAGAATTTTTCAGATTGGCTTTATTGCACTATATCATTTTTCTATTTCTAATTAATAATAAATACAAAAGAAAAAGAAAAAAAATTAACATGCTTTCATGTGTGTATGTGCATGTATAAATGTGGTCTTTTTAAATTGTGCATTTTACAAATATGTCTTAAAGTTAAATCCCTACTACTTAATAACAAATGTATGTTCCCATTTAGAAGAAACGAGAAGCATATAATGTGGAAGGTAAAAGTGACAGTAGAAATATGAGTGTTAATAAAAACATCAGTTTTTTCATACATATGAAAATTTGCAGACTTTACAGGGTTATAAAGCTCTGCTTCTCCCATTGTATACTGTTCCCTTTTTAGATATTCCTTAGTTGAGTAGCTACTACTCTATGAAGCAGAATTTTAGAATGGAAGATTATTTTAGCATCATAGAGTAACTGAAGTTATAATTACTTTCATATATCTGTCCTGTTCACCAAGTTAGAAGTTGACTTTTTAAGCCATCGAGAGCCCTGAAGACAAAGAAAGCAAGAATTCTGTCATTGTTAAAATCAATTATTTTAATTGCTTAAATAAACATACATAATTGATGTAGGTGCCGGAGATCACAAGCAGTTTGATGAAATTTGCAGTGAGTCATCTTACTGCTGGAGACAGTCATAAAGAGCTCCACCTGTTGATCTGACCAACTGAAAGAACTGGTCACTCAGTCTTCAAGGACATGCACATTGTAAAGGAGGCCAAGCAAAAATGAAAGCAAATAACTAATAGATATACGTTTGGGAAATATACGTTGAATTTCACAAACAAGTTATAACCAATCATGTACCTGCTCCAGTTGGGACATTTTAAAAGATAGCAATCCACGATACAGAAATGTGAGGGTCAAGTGGTCTATCATCAACACACATACAGATAGAAACCATTCAACTTTCTAGAGAGGCCCTTTGAATAATAACATCAAGACCTCAAGTTTCCCCAGTGAGATTTTGGTCTTCTTATCTGGGTGTGTGCAGGCAGAGATGGGCTGGGCAGTGGCCAGCCTCTGGGTGCGACTGCAGGCTAGCTGGACCTAACACTGCAGCTCCTCCTCCTCGGCCTGCCGGGGGCCTCCCGAGGAGCTCTGGGCGCTGGCGTGGGCTGTAGAGCTGAGGACCTCCTCAAAACTGCCTCCTCCATGGTTCGTCCCACCTACTTTCGTCTGAAAAGGCAAATTGGCAAAAAATGCAGTTAGTTATTAATTATCATCTTTGCAAATGTGTTTATAAGAATGCCAAAAACTTGATTACTTTTAAATTCAGAAATACTGTCTTTCTTTGGAGATAAGTAAAAGATGTAGAGAAGTTAGTTTCCTTTAGCAGAGTGATAGAATGTATGGGATTCAAACTTTGATCTTGGGATAGGATTCCAGACTTGAACTTAGCACAGTTTTAGTAATATCCTCTAATTGTTCCATATCTAAGACTCTCATCCTTTCAAGAGTATAATCAGATCTGTAGGCTTTCAATATCTACCCCACTCACCCAGAGAATTGATTTCAACAAAATGGAATTGGATTTTAGAGTAATTCTACCAATTTTACAAATGTCTGAATATCTTTATGTGACTTATACTAAGGTTTTCTACTTGAGATTTAGCAGGACAATATGAATTTCTGAAAAATGATTCCTGACAAGAAAGAGTGGCTAAATGGAACATGATTTCTGGTCTCTGCTTAGAGATCTGGCAATGGATCAAGTCCAAAGTAATGCTAATTTCACATCTTTCTAGGCAACTGCCTTCAGAGTAGGAAAACCCCTTAGAATACAAGTTAAGATGCTTCACTAGGCTCTCTTGTATACTTGCAATTGACTAAAGAGAAACATGAAGAAATCAACTTATATTAAAAAAAAACAAGATTAAGTATTATGAAAGATTCTTTATTAAAAGTCCTTCAAACAGATATTTAATGGTCCAAAAATGCTTGATGCAAGTTTTACTAATATTTGCATTGGTCTTCCCTTATCCATTCCCAATGTGGAAAAGGAAGATATAGTAGAGACAATGTTTTTGCTGAACTGTTATCTATACCTCACAGTTGTCAAATGATTGCTCAGAGGCACAGGCATGACACAGGAACATGTTCATGCCCCTCGCCTGCCTTTTTGAACAGTTGATCAGGGTTTAAAAGCAGCTCATTCATTGCAAAACAAGTATTTTTTTTTTCCTAATTGTCACTAAAATCCCTCTCTGCCTCTTAAATTCAGCTACTAAACTGACATTTTCTACAATACTTGGGTCAGAGAAATTCTTTCTGTAAAGGGCCAGAGAGTAAATATTTTAGGCTTATGAACCACAAGGTCTCTGTCAAAGATATTCAAATCTGCTGCTGTTGAAAGTAGCCGCAGACAGCATCTGAGTCAAGGAGCATGGAGGTGTTTCAATAGGACTTTAGCTAAGGACAGTAGGATGTGAATGTCATGTAATTTAATTTTCTATGTGGTAAAATACTCTTATTTTGATTTTTTCAATCATTAAAAAATGTGAAACTATTTTTAGCTTATGGATGAGTCAAAAAGTAGGTGACTAGGTGAATGTGGCCCATGGGCCTTATCCGTGGGCCTCTGTACAGAGAACTGGTCCCTCCTCTCTGTTACCTCAGCACCTGGGAAAGGCATGGTGCAAGGAGAGGCTCTCAAATAAGATTTTTCACTGTACTTTCTTTCCTGAGAGAAACAAAATAAGATTAATTCAATGTGATCTATTCTATTAATAGTCCACATGATTTTTCTTTTTTTTAAATTCACATTCTCTTTGGCTTCTATTTTGCAATAGAAATCACATACAGTATTCAATCAAGTGAATACAAATTACTGATGTTTTCTTCTGGGTTTTGCTTCTTCTACTCTTTGGTTTTCTCAGATCAAAATAGTAAAAACAAGAAGGAATGGAATGGTTTGAACAAAATCAGTCTGGCAAAGAGGGGGTGGAATATAGGGGCTTCCCAACCCCGTGGACTTACTGATAGTCACTGCAATACTTTGGGCAAGGACTGCAATAGATGTGAGCCACAAGCCTTTGCTGGAGCTTCTCTTCATAAGGACCTTTCATCCAAGAATTTGTCACTTTGTCCCTAAATTTATAATTGTTCTTTGTACAAAATCTCATTTGAACTGCCAAGCTGGGGTTCCTAATCTCAAAGTGAAATACCTGGTTGAGAGGACACAAAGAAACAAAAAGTATAATATTTCTTGCTCCCCCCCCCTTTTTAAGGTTTTGATTTAAGCCATGTATTCATCAAAAAGTACATGCACTAAAAATATGGTCTGCTTGATGCAGATAGAGAATGAGTGGCAGGGATGTAGTTGCCTGTGATTCACTGGAGCACAGCTGAATATGACAAATTTGGTTCCATCGGTGTTATTTCTGTATCTGCCTGTTTGTCTTGGATGAAATAGATAGGATGCTCCTTGACTATACAGGTGACACCAGAAGAGATGTCATACACTAACACACTGCAAGAGTGTATGCAGGACCAAATTTTATATGCTTAGGGCTGAATATAAAGAAAGAACAGCCGATTTGGTACAAATGCCACGTGGTGTGCTTCAGACTGCATGAGGAGATGGCAAGTGTGGACCTTACTTCACACAACATCTTTTCTCATAGAACATAAGTAATATTTCTTAAAGCAGGACATATGAATGGAAATACAACCTGAAGAACTACAAAGACTTCTATTCATCCTCACTGATTCAGGAGCTCCTGAAAACAGCCTCAGGATCCACAAATGAACAATAGAGACATTTTGGAGAACATTTAGAACACAAATGTAAACTGCAGAACATAAGCTCTAGAAAGGATTATATGGATCTCTAATTTAGTCTAGAAGGGGAAAAAGGACTGAGAAATATGTAATTGTTGAGGAGGTGGGAGGTTTTACACAAAGCACGATTATCAGGTATTCTACATTTTCTAGGTGGGCAGAAGGAAAAGAATTAGGCATTGGCTTTGAGACAGGAGATGTGTGAGATGTGAGTCTTGGTAAACCCATGGACAGTCGTACAAGCACAGAATCCACTCACAGGAGATCTCAATGCAGACCTGGTGGGCCAAGTAGGTACCGGGCATCTCTGAAGGAGGGCAGGCACTATCCCTTCTATCCCTCGCTGAGGACAGCGAGGCTGAGAGTGTGGATCAAAATCCTGTGTGAACCATGAGCTCATCAGAGCTTCCCAAAGAAAATGAAGATAGATTGTTCTTTATTCTTCTTTAGTTTCTGCATATCTCCTTCTAAAAGAACCTAAAAAGTACAACTTGTCCTATGTCAGAACATGTCTAACAAGCAACAGGTCCATTCTCCTTGGGCTAAGGCTGAAAACTAAGTTTAAGAAACTAATACTTAGTATTTCTGAGACTTTTGTTTCTATACTAGATGTTCTTCGAAGAGAAATGTCCACCACACTGCGTTCGCCTCCCCTTAAAAAACCGTTCCTGGTAATGGGGTGACTTAATGGCTCCTGACTAAGTGACGGTGTGGACAAGCAGAGTAATAAAACTGCAGAAGTAGAAACTGTTGGTGAATGAAACTAGTGAAGGCATGGTAAATGCTGAGTAATAATTCCCTTCTTTGACCTATAACACCTGACTGCAGGCCTAATAAAGTAGACCCTCCACTAAGAGAAAGACCCTCCAGGTCACTAAGAGCATCTGTGACCTGTGGGAGGAGTAACTCTTACCCTCACCTGCACCCAGCAGGCAGCACCCATGAGAGTCCCACAGCGAGATCAGGAAGCAGCTCAATAATTGCAGTGCACACAACTGATTTTGATCTGGTGAAGAAACGTGCCTTTGTAGTGCTAATAATTACAAGATCTCATTAAATCACTGTTTAGATGATATTTTTCAAAGCATAATCTTAATAGTTTCCATCACTTTTTTCCTGTTTTACGTTTATGCCTTTTGAAAGCAGACTGACTTTATTTGTTCTTTTTTACCCTTTGTAGATTAACTTATCTATGCTTAAACAATAAATCTAGTCAATTTTTAAAAATACTATGTGATAGGCATATTTTCTTTTTAAACCCAGAAATCATGCATTACAATAAAATAGTGCATTGTGTGGCTCAGTTCAATTTTCTCTCCATGAAAACTGTCCTGTGCTGTGCTCAGGATATGAATTTGGTAAACTAGCCTAGATAGACGTGGGGGGTGGATAGCATTATAACATATAGTACCTGCTTTGTTTTTAATGGTTCATGTTCAAACCAGAGGAGCTCGGGGCTATTATGGAACCTGCTCTCACATGCTGAACTCAGAATTCAGATATCCTTGATTCTACCCACAATCCTCTTTCATGTGTCTACTTTCAGGCAGACAGCATTCAAGATGAAGTGGTAGACACAAAGCCAGTTCATTATAATGAGCAATTTCACCCTTGAGTTGTTTGTACAAACAACTCTAAGGATGAAGCAACACTAATCCATACTGATTTTACCTACAGAGTTATATGAGAAGCAAAGGGTCTGCCTTCATGCAGGTCTAACCTTCTTGGCTGCCCTGAATGCTCAGGCCCTGCCTTGCCCTCCATACTAACAGCAGCAATAACTAAGCTGTCCTGATGGAATGGACCCAGTCACACGAAATCCACTTCATCTGTACCTTAAGGCTTGTGACAGTTGTCTCAACCCTCTCCTCAAATGATTTGAAAGTAGGAGAATTCCTAAAATAACAAAAAAAGAGAGGTCAGCTCCAAAGACCTAGTGTCTTAGCAACCATGCTGTTTGGTTTTCTGCTCTGATTTGTAAACATCGCCTCTGCACCAGAGCTAGCTGTCAGCTTGCCACCTACAACAACCGTGTTTAAAATATGTTCCACTTCTGCTAGGTTAGGTCCAGAAACCATAACCTGACATGGGATATTTCTAAGGAAAACAGTTAGATGCTCAACTATGGAATAAACAGTACAGTCTGTGGCAATGATACAACTAGAATAATTCCACAGTGCATCATAAATCACTTCCAATGAGTTAATGGAGTGACAATAGCTTAATTTTTCACTTGCTAATTAATTGCTACTCTCAAAACATTCCTCTTCTTCTGTTTCTTTCTTTCTTATTTCTTTTTCTTTTCTTTCTTTTTTTAAAATTTTTTTCTTTCTTTTTTTTTTTTTGTAAGCAAATGAAAACTCAGCCTGAAGAGTGTCATGTCTGAATTTTCCTACTTGGAATTTTAAAGTTATTTATTTCAGTAAACATGAGACAAGACAAAAATAGCTCAAGGGGGGGATGTTCATAAAAGTTCTTTTCCTTAAAAAGTCATCATATTGATAACTTCCATAACATGGTGTTTCTGAAAGTTCATGCATTCATTATTTTATGTTGAAATGTATCTACCGACTGTCTCATACCTGAGGAAAATGGCGTTAACAGCATATAATTTTCCTCCCAAAGAGGATATGCTTTTTTGTTCTCTTACCAGACAGAACTTTCACAGTTCATTGGCATTTGATTTGTAACTCATTCATTGTGTTTAATCTACATAACCATGTTTTTTGCTTTCAGTGTAGATCCTTCATTGGTGATTTCTGGTTTCTTATTTGGGATTTGGCTACATGACATTACAATTTAACGAAGTTATTACCATTAAAAATGATATCACTAAGTCCAAATAAAAAGATAGGAACTGAACTAAAAGATAGCTCTTAAATCTTGTATTCATGTCAGCTTTTGGAAGCAACAACTGGCATTATTATCCGTTTTAATTAAATGTAACTATATTTGATAAGCCACCTGTTATTCCCCAATTAAGTATAGATACAAAATAAGAGGAATGGCTTGTAGAAACTTTATAAGGAAGAATGGCTATACTGAATGTTGTGAGATGAACCATGCCCCTAAAACTATCAAGAGGCAACTAATATAGAAAATATGTTTTTGAATTTAACTTAGCTGGGGATTGCCTCCTGAAACTTTGGTGCTTTGAATGGCCAAAAATGCACCTCCATTTAGGCTGTGTACACTACTGGTGAGTTCAGAAGAGCCAGGCATGGCATCACACCTTTTATGTATGTGACTGAAACAGTCAAATTCCTATAAGTAGTACTTTATAATATTTCTGTTTCATGATGAATGTATTAGTGAAATTATACTTAAGTCGCTCAAAAGTATATAGCTGTGGTGCTTCACTTCTACTGCAGGTTTCATTTGGCTGAGCCTGCTCCTGTGACCCACTATCTTCCCCACAATGGACATATATGTTAGATGATTAGAATCAATTTTTCTTTAAAAAGCTAATTTCAGGAAATTCACAGGGATTGCATTTGACCTATAAGCCACTAGATGGATTCCTGGTTCACAGAGCAAAACCATATTATTTTTTTTTTCTAAGCTGCCCAAATTTAAAATGTATTCAGCAAAGGAGCTCATAGCTTTGTGTTATATTATTTCATCTGAGTGCTTCACTTGATGAGCTAATAATTTTGAATATGTATTCCCTATTTACTATCAACTATGGAAAATCAAATATTGTGGTCAAATTTCCAAATCAATCAATTAATCAAATAACCCCAGTGTAGAAGAGACTTCATGAGAAATAGTAGAACAAACATCCCTCTAATTCAATTGTTCCAGAATGCACGCCAGAGAAGAAGGATAAATTGTTTAATCAGATATAATCACATCATGTGCAGCTATAAGCTTGTAGCACTGCAAATGACCCTAGAAAGAATTTGGTTTCTATGGTCTCAGACTATTAAAAAGTAACTGAACTTCCTCTATTGTGTATTAAAACCACAGTGTATATGCTATTAAACAGGTAAAAGGGTATAGTTCTGACTAAAGTAGGGGAAGGTCTCAGAGGCCTGCTCTCCCCTCCACCAATGGTCGCCCAGACACCTCTAGGGCTCTACAGAGCACCTTGGAAAGAGCAGCAAATCTGGTTCCAGCTTCTTATTTTAAATATGACAAAAAATTGATATGAGTGAAATGACTTTGTCAAGGCTGCCACATTCATCCTTGGCAGAGTTGGTACATCATGTGTCTTCTAATTCCCAACCATACATTCCTCTAGACTATTAGTTTGATTTTATCTGATTGTACCACTAAGCCATACAACCTGAACCTGGGAATGTCTTTCTCATAAGTTTTCATCCAGTGAGTATTTTTGTGACATTTATAGTTCAACAGACATCTCACCTTAATATCTACCTGAAACATCCTAGTGATATCCTTTCTAGGACTATAGACCTATCCTTTTATTTTATAGTTTCTCCCAGGCTTGCATTTAGTTATGTTGAAACAACAAATGTATTTCCACCCTTGCAAGTATGCTTGAAATGTCCTAGACCTGCACTAAGTTCTTAACACAGGTTACTTTGTTTTGGTGTCATAGCATCCATATGAGGTGGGTCTTATTTCTTGCAATGTATGAATAAGAGAAAGGAGATTGCAATAGGTCGATAAAATAAAACAGGAAAGGCTGGATTCAAGCCAGTGTGTCTGGTCAAAGGCCCAAGCCCCTTACACCATCCTTCTATAGCATTGAGTCTTAGAGATCAGCAGAGAGAAGGATGAGGTAGACCATGGCACTTCAGCAATTTCCTTTCACATAAAGGCATGTGCAGAGGGAAGCTTACAACTAGATTATCAATAAAGTAACATTTCATATACATTCTGCATCAATGTTATGTAAAATATTTTACACACATTACCTCATAGCAGGCATACTTATGGAATGACGAATGGAGTAACTTCAGGACAAAAGCAGATTAAAAGAAAAAAAAAGAAGATAGCACAATATAAGTACATGAAAATCTCCCTCTTTGCAGTTCTAAAACAGCAATCTCAAATATCCGAAGTATTCCTTGCCCATCCAACCAAGATATTTGTTTTCCTTGGGCATAAGGGGCCAGAGTCAGCTTTCAAGGATATGAAGAAAGAGTAGCTGGTTCATGGTCATATACTATTCTATTTACTGAACGGTCCCTATAAGAAATATGATAATATGTAGTATCCTCCTGGTCAGCCAAGTAACTCAGATTAGACCTCTTCTACAGGTCTGATCTGGGTCTCCACACTCTTTTCCTTCTCAGGAAGACAGTAAGGAGCGAAGGGTAGTACCCAGGAATTAGAGCCAAGCAAGCAGAAGCTAGTTGTTCCATTGCAGAGAAACTGTCCAGAGAAATGTACATGATTAAAAAAGACATTCAAGGAAGTACATGCCAGGCTAACACAACTCACACAGTTCAACATGGAAGGACAGACTCCTACCTCCACTGTGGTTTAATTGTTAGGGACATCTGGTACAAATATAAACATTCCTGAGAATTTTAAGGGATTCACCCTCTTAATCCTATAATAGCTGACTCATCTCTCCCTGCTCCCTTGTTATTTTCTATTGAGTTCCACTCAGAAATCAGGCTGAGCAGAGGGAAAAAGCAAGATGAGGCCCATTTTTTCCTGGGTTAGTGCTTCTTCCTCATCCATTTTTCAATGTGGTCCTTGCTTTCTCTTCTCTCAAAGAGGCTAACAAGTCTTGGATAAATTTATCACTCTTCCAGGACAATATCCATTGAGTTCACTAGTAAGGGCAGCACTTTATTGGAATGCAAAACGAAAACAACAAAGGAATTCAAGGGATACTTAGAGTCTTACCCTAAATACTCCATACATACGTTATAGGCAAAAATATTTCCTCAGAAATTACATTTGAAGACATCACTAAAAGATATTCAACATTACCAATCTGTTCATCTCTTTTAATACAAGCAATTACTTAGGAAATTCTTTTTAAGTTTATGGTGAAATTCTAGCTAAAAGAAGGCTTAATTCAGAGGCAAGAGACTGACCATTGCAACTTCTTTATATATGGGCTTTTTCACCCACCTTTCTTACCTTCAATTTCAGAAAGTACAGAAAGTTGAAGATGGAGATATATCAGCACAGGTAACCATGGCAAGAAATTCAGAGAAACACAATAATCTAGAGAAAATAATTTTCCTATGTGCAGTTTCACTTTCTAGAAGTTTTATAAAAATACATTATTCTCAATTTGCACTTGCTTTTTTTTTTTAAATTTTCTTCTTTCTAGTCTTAGCATCTTGCGGACACAGGAAGAAATATTGCAGAAAAAAGAATATTAAGAGATTGCTCAGCAAGTAAAATGGTGCAAATATTAGAAATGAGATAAATACATGCTTAAATAAATTCAAATGTATTAGGTGTCCCACAATTGGTATCTTCCTGGGTATGTACACTGTCTGGAAAATAGTCTAGCAGAACAGTGCTTACCCGATGGAGTGAGACCTGCATCCAGGCAGCATGGGAGAGAAGAGCAGGAGCAGAGTTAGCATGTAGGATTTAAAGAAATGGCACTGACCCTTGTTTTCCCCTCTCAAGAGCTTAAAAACAAAGATGACATATTCCATTCACCATTTTTTGGGGGGGTGGGATGAGGGAGTACCAGGGATTGAACTCAGGGGCATTCAACCACTAAGCAGTATCCTCAGTTCAATTTTGTATTTTATTGGAGACAAGGTTTCACTGAATTTTTTAGCATCTCACTGTGGCTTTGAACTTGTGATCCTCCTGTCTCAGCCTCTGGAGCTGCTGGGATTATAGGCGTGTGCCACCACACCTGTCACCTTTTTTTTTTTTTTTCCTTTGAGTATACAGTTGACTCACTGTATCTGTGAGAGATTGGTTCCAAGACCCCATGTGGAAACCAAGATTTGCAATGCCAAAGCCCCTTATACAAAATGGTGTGGTATTTGCATATAACCTAGGCACATCCTCCCGTATATTTTAAATCATCTAGAGATTCTTTGAATACCTAACACAAGGTAAATACTATGAAAATATTTGTTATACTGTGTTGTTAGAGGAGTAGTGAGTGATATGAAAAAATATCTGTATCCATTCAGTAAAGATGAATTTTTTTTTCAAATATTTGCAACCTGCAGTTGATTGGATACAGAGGGGTAATGGATACAGAGAACCAACTGCATTTTTTTTTTTTTTTTTTGTGGTGGTGCTGGGGATTAAACCCAGGGCCTTGTGCATGCAAGGCAAGCACTTTACTTACTGAGCTATGTCCCTAGCCCATCACCTGCATTTTAAAAGATGTTTTAAAGATTTTTTAAAAACCTATTACAATTTGTGCTTCTTCTTTTTTTTCATGGCCATATGAGTAACAGTATGTGCCTCCTCCAGACATTTCATTCTCACTGGATTATAGGTTTGAACAAATTCACTGAGAAATTCTGAAAAATATGCCAATATTATTATGAAAATGTTTCCAACACTTTCCATTTCCTCCATGGTACTTTCATAAATGTGATTTCATTTTAATTTCACAGTAAACATTTTGGTGAAGCAGATATTATAAAAGCTATTTTATATAGAGAAAGAAATTGGACAATTTCTTGACTGGCCCAAGGTGACATCATCTAATTGTAGTCAGGTTAAAATGAAACTATTATTTAGCTCAGGAAATACAACTTATTTTTATAAAACATAAATTCTGACACAGGGATTTTTATTTTATTTTTAAAAAGCTCATGTTGTCAGATTGATTTTTTGCAATGTTCAGGATTAAACCCAAGGCCTCAGGCACACTAGGCAAGTCCTCTACCTCCAGCCCTTTTTATTTTATTTTATGTTACTTTATTTTATTTTGAAATGGTCTCAGCAAGATGCTCAGGCTGGCCTTGAACTTGCTATCCTCCTGCCTCAACCTAATGCATAGTTGGGGTTACAGGCTTGTACCTTCACACCCAGCTAATTTGGAATTATTCTAAAGAAAGAGTATGAAATACTGTTTTTCTCCTAAGACATCTAAATTTGGCTGATAATCTTTTTGAACAAGTTCAGAAATGTGTTCTCAGAATTTTACCATGTAACTACTTAAAATCTAGAATAAGATGATACTTTAAACCATAAAAGGGTTTAAAGTAAAATATCTGTGCAAAGATGTTAACATTTCCCCCACTGTCATTTTAAAAATTGGCACATTGATTTGAGCAAAATGTCAAAACTTTGTAATTTTTCTCATTTAAGAGTCTTTATTGAACTTAGGAAACATTAAAATTTTATATATATATAATATTTGACTTGCTTTAGAATAATTTAATACCAAAGACTCTTTGTAATATTTATTGTTTTTGCAGGGAATTATCTTCATTAATATACAAATGTTACACAATCATAACTTGTGAGAAATAAAAATACATAGCTCTAAATTTTTCCAACTTCTCAAAATATTTCAGGACTGTATTTGAGTCTCTAAAAACATAGGCATCATTTTGTAGTATTTTTAGCCAATTTATAATGACAATGTTGTATCTTCTTTTCTTGGTATAAGGGATTAAACCCTATGGTGTTTAACCACTGAGTCACATCCTCAGCCCTTTTTATTATTTGAGACAGGGTCTTGCTAAGTTGCTTAGGGCGTCACTCAGTTGCTGAGGCTGGTTTTGAACTTGTAATCCTCCTTTCTCAGCCTCCCAGGCTGCTAGGATTACAGTCATGTGCCATCTTTCCTGGCACAGTGTTGTATTTTCTCTATGAAACAATAATTAATGAAAAGTGTGGAACTCCTAGAAAATAGGTTATGCATTGTGCTAAAACAAAGCCACATTAAAACAGGAGTCACCACAATCTGGATATGATATTGAATTAGTGTATGAACATGATTATATCAACATACAGCATATGTGCAACACAGTCTTCATTCCTCATTATGTGCAAAAACAGTGAGGAGCTTCACAAAACACAGTGTAGACTCCTGTTAATGGATGCTTCCTAATTTCCATCATGTGGGATAACCCTGAAACTAAGCTTGTCACTTAATAAAGATTAAAACTAGTACTCATTGAGCGTAAAATATATGCCAAACTCTCTTCTGCATCTTTTATAACTAAATATTGTTGCTACCTTGTGTATGTGTGTGTGCGCGTGTGAGTGTGTGTATGTATGTGTGTGTGTGATGATGGGGATCAAACCCATAGCCTCCTGTATATGAAGAACATGCTCTAGCACTGAGCTATACCCAACATTGTTACTCTTATCCCCATTTTGTAAATGAGTACACTTGAGTACAGGAAGCTAAGTTATATTGGTCCTCTTCTTAATTTGATCACCTGAAGCCAAACCACCTGAGAGCTTGTTACAAAGGCAGATTCCTAGATTCCACCAATACCCACTCAGGCACAATCTTGGAAAGGTGAGACACTCATTTTAAACAAGCTCTGGGGGTGTCTGCAAGATCCCCTAAAAAATGGAGAAAAACTATTCTAGTTGGCACTATTATGCAGAGGTCCAAGCATTCAAGTGAAAGATTTCAACTGTGTATCTAGAAAATAAATTTTATAAATATGGAAAAATGTATTTTCTCTGGTATAACAAGTATTAGGGTCTTTCCTGTTCTAAAAGATTATGAATTCATTTAGAAAAATGTTTCAATGCCATTAAAATGACTGCAAATCGTATTTGTTAAACTCTGGCAGTCACTAAAAATTCAGAAAGTTGACCTGTTCAATGCATGTTGCCTCTGAAGAATTAGAATTGCTCTTGATAGTGCAGTTTAGTAAAAATGAAGATAAAAACAATATACTCAGATTCACACATATGTCCTTACTTAACTCTATCCTCATGAATGCTTAGTTGTTAAGGTGGTTCATGAATATTGGCATAATCCACCAAGATATAAATATTTGCCTCCAGGTATCAAAGCTGCAGAGAAATAAGTAAAATAAGAATTGATGGCCAGGCACGGTGGTGCATGCTTGTAATCCCAGTGGCTCGGGAGGCTGAGGCAGGAGGAGCACAAGTTCAAAACCGGCCTCAGCAACTTAAATCCTAAGCAACTTAGCAAGACCTTGTCTCTAAATAAAATATAAAAAGGGCTGGGGATATTGCTCGGTGGTTAAGTATCAAAAAAAAAAAAAAAAAAAGGAATCATGCTGGGTATAATGGCACACACCTGTAATCCCAGCAGCTCAGCTGGCAAGGCAGGAAGATCTCAAGTTTATGGCCAGCTTCAGCAATTTAGTGAGGCTCTAAGCAACTTAACAAAACCTTGTCTCGAAATCAAAAATTTTAAAAAAGGTCTGGAGATATTGCTTAGTGGTTAGGCACACTTGGGTTCAATCTCTGATACCAAAAACAACAACAAAAAGAGTTTATTAACCCAATAAAATAAATACACAATTTCTTAAAAGAAGAAATTAGAAACTTCCTTGAAAAAGTTTTAACAATAAAATCTTGATTTCTAAAGAGAAAAAATGAAATTGATTTCTAAAGAATGAACTCCTAAGGTATATTAGCCAAATTAAAAATAAACTGAAACTGTTTTAACTAAGCAAAAACATGAGAGTAATAACTCTAGACTAAAGTAACTTCCTTGACTGTAATATTAAACAGAAAAATGGCCAATACTACATTTTTTTTCTTCTGACACCTACAGTGAGGATATTTTGTTCTCAGTTTAAACTACCTTCCTATTCATCCTAGTTTTATTTAACAGTAACTCTAAAAATGACTACAATATAGAAGGTACTTCCTTAAAAGTTTTGTTACTGTTATGCACTGGATAATAATATCTATTAAAAATGAAATTCAAAAGTATTAACATTCATAATTTACTGCTAAAAGGAAGAAAAATTTATTAGAAGTATAAATCAAAAGAATAAATATGAATGTATATATTTAGCACAGAAAAATAGCACATAGTTATATGCACAAATAGTTTATCAGAGTGTATTCCAATGAGCACATACACTGTTTAAGACTTGTAAGATTCAGTGTGTGCTGCATTTTTATGAAATTCCTCCTCATGACCCCCTATTTTCTACTTTTACTAATGGAAAAATATCTTTGGGACCAGGCCCCCTAGGCTGACCTTCAAGCAAAAATCATCCCAATAAAAAAAATTTATCTTAATCATAAACATCATTTTTATGCATTAAAAGAAAGTTAAGACCAGCCAACAGACAATGTTCCTTTAGCAGGGTTCCCAACTGTTATGATTTAGATCTAGACTGTCTCCCCACATCTCAAGTGTTAAAGACTTAGTCTCCATTGCAGCAATGTTCACAGGTGGGGCTTTTAGGAAATAATTGGATCATGAGGATTTAACCTCATCAGTGGATTAATCCATTTGATGGATTAATTGATTTGAATGAACTAACTGGGAGGAGGTGAAAACTACAGGTTGATGGGGCATGGCTGGAGGAAGTGTGTCACTGGGGTGTGCCCTTGGGAGACTGTATCTTGTCTCTGGTCCCTTTCCTTCTATTTCTCTTTCTGCTTCCTGGTGGCCATGCACTGAGCAGCCTTCCTTTGCCATACATACCCTTGTTCCATGATTTTTTGTACCTCCCCTCAGGCCCAAACCAATAGAACTGGCCAACCATGGACTGAAACCTCTGAAATTGTGAGTCAAAATAAATCTTCCCTCCTGTAAGTTCTTCTTGTCAGATATTTTGGTTACAGCAATGAAAAGCTGACTAATACATCATGGTTCTTAGCCACATACCTCATGTCACCAAACTTCTTGCTGATGGCTGTTCCCACATTGCTGAAAGCTGCCGTCGCCTTCTGCCCTGCATGGCTCAGGGTTTCATGTGTTTTCTTGTAACTAGAACCAAAAGGGAACCAGGGTAAGCAATACAGTTTTCCTACCATTATCTTCCCTAGTAGACGTTCACCTTTCTTCTCTCTTCTTACTTGGAAAATTCCCTTTTTTAAAGAGACTTAGGAAGAAGATGATCCACACATGTCATCATTTCTTATTTGGGGATGATGGGCTGACTGCTGTTCATCAGTAGGAAAGTCAAGAAGAACATGCATATAGAAATACAGGAGGAGTGTGCAGATTTTTCATTGTAAATGCTGTATCTACTCAGAGAGCAGAGAGTTATTTCTAAAGAAATAGATTACTGAACGCAGCACCTTAGACTGCTCGGCCATCCTGACGGCGGGCTACAAGGGGGAGAAATGAATTACAGTTGAGGGGGTAGAGAGAGAAGAGGGGAGGGGAGAGGAGGGGAGGGGGGGATAGTAGAGGATAGGAAAGGCAGCAGAATACAACAGACACTAGTATGGCAATATGTAAATCAATGGAAGTGTAACTGATGTGATTCTGCAATCTGTAAAAATGGGAGTTCATAACCCACTTGAATCAAAGTGTGAAATATGATATATCAAGAACTATGTAATGTTTTGAAGAACCAACAATAAAAAAAAAGAAATAGATTACTGCTATGAAGGAACTTGTCAATGACAGTGCTAGCCTCCAAAGGTAACATAGAAATTAGAAAGTATAGGTTTTTATGAGGAATCTAGCATATATTGTTAGTTTGGGTAAAAGTAACCAGAAAAAGGTAAAATACTGCTATTTATTATCTTATTTTTCTAATATTTTAAGTTAGGAATAATAAGGGCACATAATCTGATGATAAAATGGTAATTTTTATCAAAATTGATCTAGGAAGACAGGAAGTACTGCAATTACTTGTTTCTAAGTCTGTTGTCCCCATGAGACTGTGACCACATGAGAGCAAGGAAGTCATACATCTTTGTGTCCTCAATATCTGGCAGAAGTTTCCAGGAGAAACTCAATTAATGCTACATGAATGAATGGATGACATAAAAAAAAGGACACTCCTCTGTGGCTCCAAATAAAGAATAATAATGGCAATAGGAACAGGGAGAGGTATGTCAGATAAAAGAAATAGAACAGACAGACTTGACAGGAGACCATAAGTGAGAAATATGAACCAGACAAAAGCACTGTCCCGAGGTTCCCAGCATGAATGACAGGAAGGACAGTGGAGCTGTCCGAAGGGCTGAGAAATTTCTAAGAGTTCATTAATAAAGTGGGAAATAAAAGATACATCACTTGAGGAGTATAGAGAAATCAGCAAAATTTCTGGATAGATTTTTTTTAAAAAAAATCATTCGTAGAGTGGATTTGCCATATTCTTCCAACTTATATTGCTTCGGGGCAAGTTCCTCCAAAGCCACCTAAAGCATAGATATGGCACAATTGAGAAAACTGCATCAGATGAAATCAGCTGTGAGGAACTTGCCTTTCCCTCCACTCCTTCCATCCCCTTTAAGTTATTCAGTCCCAAATATAAGACATGACTCCAGCAAATGCATTCAAAGATACCCCTTGGTCTTCCTTAGGACTGAAGTCTCCATGGTATTCTATTATTTTCTTTTTGTTATCAAGACACAGCGAGTCTGTTATATAACAGCATACATCATTTATTACACAATGCCTGCTTTTCAGGGTGTTTAAAAACTATGTTATCTAGATCATGAAACCAAATAATTTACTGAACTGACATTTCCTACCAAACATGGGAAGGTCAAGGGAACAAGGGACAAAGAAGAATCTACTGAGTAGGAGGTAATTTGTGAGTCTGGAGAGGGCTGTGCTTGTGAGTGGAACAGGGAAGATGGACCCCAGATGGCACTGTGTGGGTCACGCAGCAAATGAGAAGGGAGGAGATGAAAGTAATGAACAGCTTTGAGGAGGTCTGCCCCTGAAAAGGTCCAAAAAATCATCTTACTCACATTATAATTCTATTTTTACATTTTACTGAATGATTTTAGGTTTTAATTATGGGAAAAGAAATTTTGACCATGTGAAACCATGGAATTTCAGGCACTTTCCAAATAAAATATTAAAATAAAACTTGTTATTAAAGATAAGATAATTGGCATAACATTAACTGCTAAAGATCAGAAATAAAAACATCAATCATTATTATAAGATTTTAGGTACAATCTTGAAATGGAATGTACAGAAAATTCTTCAGAAGAATCATGCTACTAAATAGGTCCCTACAGTCCTAAACACTTGGATTAATCAGGCTCAGAAACAGCCTTTAAAAAAAAGCAAAATTTAAATGCAGTGGATTTAGACTTATTTACAAATGAAAAAAAAAATCTGGAATTCCTACACATTACATTTTTACAATGTTGACAGAGTTTTCACAAAGTAGTAATAGGGCTATGAAACCGAATCTATCACAGTGTATTAAAAATGAAATCGATACATTTTGGAATTAAGGAAAACACAGTATGAGATATAAATGAAGCACTTTCTTTCACTGTGGACTAGGATTCAGAATTAGGCCCAATTCAGGACTCTTTCTACTGATAGCCTAATTCTGAAAAATATTAAGGAATATTTTTTCCTAAGCAATTGTTTCTCATGTATATTGGTGAAGAAATAGAATAGCCCTTTAGATGCACACATAGGAGATCAGCATCATTTTAAAACTTGTGTTTCATTCATCCTCTCCATCTAATCCATCAGGAAACCCTGTTGGTGCATTTCAACTTTCAAAGGAAATCCAGAATCTGTTTCCTCATCACCTCCAAGGCCCTCTACCTTAGTTCAGACTATCACCATCCTTTTCATCTGAGCTCCTGTAACAGCCTCTCAAATTGGCTCCCTTCTTCTACTTCATCTCTCTGTAGTCCCTCTCAGCACAGCCACCAGAGAGCTCCATTAAAACATTAGTCAGAGCACATGGCTTGCCTGCACTGGGGCCGGGCACAGTGGCATATGCTTGTAATCCTTGCAACTCAGGAGGCTGAGGCAGGAGGATGGCAAGTTCAAGGTCAGCCTCAGCAAATTAGTGAGGCCCTAAGTAACTTAGATATGTTTCAAAATGAAAAAGGTTAGGGATATAGCTCAGTGGTAAAGTATCCCTGGGTTCAATTCCCAGTACCAAAGAAAGACAAAGAAACCCCTGCACTGGCTCCACATTCTCACTGAGTAAAAAGTCATCAAAGTTCACATATGCAGGCCTTTGGTGGCCTTACACAGCCAGGTCCCTTAGCTCAGTTCTCCCTCTTGCTCTTACGTCCTCACCCCACTTCCAGCCACCCTGACCTCTTTGCCTTTCCTGGAACATGCCAGGCCCTGCCCTATTTTTTTTAGGACTTCTGCTCCAGCTGTTCTGCTTTGTGATGGCATCAAATTTGGCAAGAAAAAGGTTCTGTTTTACTGTAAATGCCCCACTTTGAAGAATCAAAAGACCTGCCACCTTTCTGTGTCCAATCAGGTCCACAGGGCCTGGGGACCTTAGTCAAATGAGTGACAATGAGATGAAACTGAGCTCTAGTGGTAAGAAGGAGACGGGGAGACAAGGGTTGAAAAGGGGATTAGGGTGAGGGAGAAAGTCTATTGGGCAGCCACCCCACATTGATTTTGGCCTGAAAAGGTGACTCAAGGAAAAAGTGAAGAAACAGTCTGCAGTAACCATGGCCTTCCCATTGTGCAGGAACTGGCTACTAGTCAGAGAATTCCTTCTCATGCTGGTCTTGCATTGCTTTAGAATCTCTTGCAGTTGGACCCTGTAAACTGTTCTACATAAGTTAATATTATGTGTTTGATGTGGCTTTGAATTTTGAGATAACAAGTGTCTTCTGAACACTTGTGCATATATGTGTCATTCTGAATTTGATGGCTTCATTAAAAATAGCTAGAAAGAAGTTCATATTGTAAGCAATAAGTGTTAGCAACACTGTGTTCTAAACACATTTCTTACAGCAAAATGGAAGGTGGGTAAACATATAAAGATCGGACTACTTTTGTGTGGTATGAGTGACATTTATGTCCCACAATGAAAAATTAATCTGTTTCTACATGAAATTTTAATGTTGCAATAGAGTCTTTAATACTTAAGTGGTTCTAAAGAAATTATTTTAGGACTCCTTATTTCTGAGAATTATTTAGTGCCAAATCTGAAGGGTACGAGAGATCTTTTTCAGATTATAGTTGATGAAGACAAGGCAGAGAAGAGGGCCAGGACTCCTTGGTGACAGGATAGGGCTGGGCCCAGTCCCAATCACCCACCTTTCTCCAGAATGTCTTATTGCCTTGGAGGCAAATGACATTTGAAGGTGAGTCAGGTCAGCTCTCAGGAACTCTAGTGTCCATGGGGAGAATACTGTATTTTAAGAATTCTAAAATGCACTTTTTTTCACATTTTTCCTCTTATTCCCTAGGCTAACCATCATAATTCTTATAAATAGTTTGTAGCCATTTTTCATGCATGTTTAGAGATCAACAATGGAGAGACAGAGAGTTCAAGGAGATAAACAATGAGAGAGAGTTTTAGGTGGGGAAGTGATTACCAATGATAAAGTAACCAGGGACCCATGAGAATAGGCCATTGAACTCAGTATACTGAAAGGGTCCAAGAGCACCACTCACATCAACGTCTAAGTGAAAACAATCTCAGAGGTAGTATATTA